TTAATTATTTTCCTGTTCACTGCTGCAGTGAGTGAGATGAATGCAATAAAGAAAGAAAACGACAGACTGAGAGAGGAGCTGAAGGGCTTGAGGGATCTATCAAAGTGAGCGGCCCATTTGCTCAACATGCTTCCTTGCCATATTTGTGCAAGTATTTCCTGTTGCTTTTCATGTGCAAGTTCAAGTCCTGTCACATAGTGGCACAATCTGATTTACTGTAATTGTAACCATGCAACACTAGCCAACATACTGTGGCCTGCACCAAATTTTGGGAAAAATATCGCCAGATGTTGGTCACTTGTGGTCAGGGCCAGTTTAACTAGTACAATGTATTGTATATAATAGTCATGCGTAAAAACTCCCTGCTTCACCTTCCAGTCAGCAGAATGGTCATTCAGAGGACGCAATCACCCCAGAGGTCAAGATGTCACCTGACACAGCAGTGGCTGCTTTGACTTTACTGGCCTCAGGGCTGAAGTCCATCCAGCATCCACCAGGGGACACCTCTGTACCGACAGCGACTGTCAAACGTGAAATGGACAATAGCCCAACTGACATCCTGAGTAAGTTATGGTTGGGTAAATTTTTGACAGATATGAGAACCAGTGCTATTTTGAGATTACTACTACTGAATGTACTGAATGTATCGTAGCTTGTTCACATCTGATGAAAAGATCTTTAATGTTCTTTATTCTGTACAGAGAAAGCTTCTGAACACAAACGTATGCAAACCTGGGGCAGGGCATTTTCATTTGTAAGCAATAATGAGTTTTTTCAATATTGTTTTTGATCTTTTAAATTGGTTGTTTTATAGTAAATCGTGTTCTTTCTATTCCCTTGTGTTTTTATTGGTTGCTGAAATTTGTGTTACTCTCTTGTAGGAATTGAATAAGCCCATGTTGCCCACCTCAAGATGGGGCACAGAGCACAGTGCTGAAAGGAGGTGAGACGGGCAGACAAAACAGATACACTGACACTGGATTTTGACACATCTTAATTCTTCTCCTCATGTGTCCACAGATCTTCCAGCGTGGACTTGATTGAGCACAGACATTCCCCTTTGTCTCCTTCTCTTCCATCTCCTCTTAGTCTACTGAAGAACAATCCTATTTTTTCTTCTGTCACCTCTGAGGATCGTAGCAACCGACAACAAATCCACGCCCCCGTCCCCTTCCGGCCGCTTCCGATCAAGACCGGTCTAGATCATCTGTCTATCCCGTGGTCACTCTCAGAATCAACTGACTGGGTAACATTAGCAGCCCGCGGCTCTGGTGTTGGTAGCGGGATAGCGCTTCACCCAAGCCAGACCCCAGTTCCCAGCTCAAACATTTTGCAATTCCCAAAACTGATCTCATCAAGCAGCGGCCTCCAGTCTCGCGCACATGGCCCAACACCTAGCGGCCTGCGGTCCTGGTCCCGCAGAAACCTGTCAGAGCATGCAGAGAGTAGAGAAAAGAGAGTGACAGAAGCCGTTACAGCGCCGCCCCAGTGGAAGGCCTCAGCAACGCAGTCAGAGAGGATTTTTGGAGAGAATCTGAGAAAGGATGAAGAGGAAGCTCCGTTAGACCTGTCTGAGTCGGGACGTTCAAAAAGCAAAGAGAAAGAGAAAACACACTCACAGAGCGATGCATCTTCGACTTCATCTTCCTCACCACCTGCTACACTTTCATCGTCATCTCAATGCCCTTCAAGCCCTCAGAGTGACCAGCAGACAGCAGACAATAACACACAGGTAGACTTCAAATCATGCAGAAATACCTCCTCAATAAAGACATTCCTTTGTTTGAGACAATATGTTATGAGTGTATCCCGTTAATGCCTGAACAGAAAGCATAGAAAATCATGTTACAATGACTTTCAATCATGAAAATATGATAATTATACTTATAAACTGCATATCATATTATATTACCAAAGCTAAAAATTGTCAAGTTAAACATTTATTTTCTTCACTTTGCAAGCTAACTGCTTAGCCAGCTGCTAGATTTGCTTATTGCTAACTTGGTTACAAAATGCTCAGCTAGACTACAATAACAAAACAAATTCCTTTCTCTGTGTCTTAGTGGCCACATTGTACTATATTTCCTTCATTTTAATGTAGTTAAATTGTGGCCACATTTTTAAATAAAACTAGGGAACAAATTAGTACAACATGGCTATGATTTACCTAAAATGACTGAATGAATTCATACATTCTCTGGACATGTTTGTATTTACGAGTATGCAAATAAAATTGACTGTGAGGTTTGGTTCACATTACATAGCAGGAGGAAGCACAGGAAACATGTAAGGAGCAGAAAGAGGTAAAGGAAGGTGAAACATTTCCAGCAGCTGAAACGTCTGTCAGCTCAGAGAAGAGGAAAATCCCAGCACTAACCATTTCCCTCCAGCCAGGTAAAGCTTCACTCTTTTTGGTTGGTTTAAGTTTAAATGGACTGTTCTAACTGGTCTGTCTTGCCTTGCAGTTGTGGTTATGGAGTCCCTTAAAACAAGAGGACAGGTAATCTTAGCACTGCATTTATGTCATGACATTATATTTCATATAGCTTCAATTGAAGTTTTCTGACCTTATGAGATCAATTGTAACTTATGCTTTATTGTGGTCGGCGGTGAAGGTGTCTGATCCTGGAAGCAGACTGATGGCGCAAGAGGAGAAGGAGAACAATAACCTTGAAGCAAGCAGAAAAAGACCTGGACAGGATACTGATGGTAAGAGATCATTCATTCATTCATTTAAAGTTTATTCAATTAATACATTTAGCATCTTCTGAAATTTCACTTGTGTTGTTACATCTTAGCTCTTTCCCAGCGCTCACTAAAGGAGAGGAAAATACGGCTGAGCAGGGGACATCAAGGAACCCATGCAGACTCAGAGCAAGGATGAAGGTCTCTTTTTATTTTTCACTGTTTTAATGTTGATTGGCTTTGCTTAGTATTGTCATGAATATTTTTCTTCATATATTTCTTTTTTTATATATACAGGCAACGGATTTAACTATGATGTATGATCTGCTGTGGTTATTCAGACAACCATTTTGTTTTCACCCTTCACCACCAGTTTCCAAGTTCAAATCGCTGGTGTTCGCTTTAGTTTTCCAGAAAAACCAACACTAGACTTCAGCCGCACGCACCTCTTATCAACATAATTCTAGTGTATCGAATACAATGCATACTGCAGTGCAGACTGGAATTAAATAAGATCTATTTTTATCGTGTTCAAGCTATATCATTCAGACTGTATGTGGATGAATTTGTACTGGATTAATTTGTTATTTTATTGTGTCGATTTCCCAGAAATCTTTAGCTCTACCAAAACAGGAAGCTTCACTTTATTCACTTTATTCTTCCTCTTTTATGCCATATCATGAGTTTTTAATAAGCACATATAACAGGAGTACATGCAATTGCTTGCTGTCTTGTGTTGTTACCATTCTGTCATGTCAACACTCAGTTTGTGTTCATTCTCTCTTCCGTGTAAGAGGTGTCGCATCTCATCTATTTTTGTCTCTGAGCACTACAGCCTGCTTCTTGTAGATGTGACAAAATGAAAAACCCTCGGCTTCCCCTTTTGGTTTTTTTTGAGATGTCAAGCATATATTTTGTAATAGTGAATTTTCCACTTGCAGCTGTAAAAGCTTTCAGAGTGTAAAAGGAGGAAGGGTAAAACTGTGAAGAGAAAAAAAAGTATTCTTTTTTAACTTTCTGTACCATTGCGTCAAACTAGCTGTAAACCTTTGGTTTACACTATTTGTAGATAGTTTTAGAGATAATTTGGAGATATTATCTTATAACTAAAATTCCTCACTTTTTAGACACTAGAAGAACATAGCAACTACCTAACAACTAATGTCTATCTAAATAAATACAAATATAAGTGCATTGCATGAAAAGATGGCTGTAGTCATACTTTGTGAACTATCACCTGTAATTGGTTTAGGATGTGGGGAACACCTACATTGTTGCAGGAAGAGGGTAAATAGTTTTCACTGTGAAGAACCTGAGAGCTTTGATTCACTGGAACAATTTAGAATTGTCACTTGAATATGCCAATATCCACAACACTTAGCTTGTTACTTTTGTATACTGAGCAAAGGTGTATGAGTTTAAAGTTACAAAGGTAAAAATCCAAATAAAAACCCTTGGATCAAGGTATCACACCTGGTTTTCTGTTAATGTGAATATCTTCTCTCTCTCTCTCCCTCTTGTAAGTATTTGCATATTAGGAATGAAGTTGTTTTGCCTTAGTATTTACTAAAGAAGAGGTTGATTTATGTATTTGCTTGTTTATTATGTTTCTCTTACTCTGTCTCTTTCAAAAAAAAAGAGGGTGTTTAATCTCACCATCGGATTATTCGGTCCTTATGTAACTGTAAGGCCAGACCAACTGTTTGTTTGACTATTTCCAATCTAATAATAATACATCTGTGTGTTTCTATCTGTGGTTGTGCACTAATAGATACACACAGCTGGCTCTTCTAATCTGTTCTCAAGCAAATCTAAATCTGCCTTTGTTTTTAATTTTTTGTTACTTTTGTCCCTTTTATTTAGATTTTAGTATCACTTATATTTGAAATCACTCTTTTTAAATATCACATTATTTGTGTCCAAATTTGAGTGACACTTTGGCTGAACGAACAATGCTATGTTTTTTTTTTCTCAGAAGTGAAGTGACATTGCAAAAGGTTTTTAAACAAGTTTTTTTGCAACCTTCACACAAAATGCCCTGGGTTCACAGTGTTGTACGAAGACTATTGCGAGAATATGACACGCGGATATTGAAGCGGAATATTCATGACAGATTTCCTCTGACAGAAGGGTGTTTCTCAATACTTACTGAGCTCCCTGCCTAGACAGCATTTTGAGCGTCATAAGAGCTCGATTTATTTTAGGCTATTATCACCTCGTTACGAGTCGGATGAGCTCAGTGTGTATGTATGAGCTGAGCTATACTTACAACGGGCCTGGTGTCCTTCACTGTTGCCTAGGAAGGCATCTCAGAAGTTTTTGAGACACAGCCGCTAACTTCCTCTTGGACAGTACAGCGCGAGAGTCTTACCGAAGCGCATCACTGATGGAGGAGCCGGCGTGAAGCGACCTCAACATTTCTACATCTCGATCAACTAGCGAGATTTTGTGAATAAAGAAATATTCTTTTCGTCTGGATTGCGTCTTAAGTGGTAAGTTAGCTTAAAAATATGTAGTTTTATTATTATTTACATCGAGTTGTTATTTAATTATGTTTTTCTTCATTATTTCTATTTTATGTCATTGTTTTTTGTAGTCAAACGATTAAGACCCTATTCTTTCAAGATGATTTTCTATTTTCGTTGTTTAAAGACGTTTCTAGCTTTCATATGCACCTAAATTAAATAGTAGTCCTAATATTAACATGTAAAATTAATTTAATGTATCTCCTTAATGCTATTTGTCATAAGCTATACTCTTTAATTTTCCTGACTGTTTTTGTCGTTTATCTGTAAACTAGAATCTGGTCTCTTATCTCCTGTGTTAAATTAGAAAGAGAGAGAGAGAGATTTATCTGGTTCACTCAAGACTCATATTTAATCGAATTATTTAGTTGGTTATTCTTTTACTGAATTCTTTACTCTGATTCATTTCTAAAGTATGACACAGTTACTGGGTCAAATCCAGTAGGTTACATGTTTTTAATTTAAGCGCAGTCCTGTGTTTGAGGAACCTGCATGTTTCTTTGAAATAATATCATGCTTTAGCTTTAGTTATACTGGTACTTCCGTAGTTCACTATAGTTTAACAGACCATAACAATATCAGAGTACACATTTAAATATTTCTCTTCCTCCTTAGAGGATCCATCTCCGCACGTAAAAGGACACTCAAAAACACTCTTTACAGTAATAGTTCACGATTCTCTATTGGCTGTTGGCCTCCTGAAGTCAGTAAGCTGTGGTGCTTTCTGACCGTTTGCACATACAGTATGTTTCTGAAAAAGAAAACAAATAGCAATGAGAAAGTCCTGACAAGGAAGGTGGAATTGATACATCCCACATTTGCATGTGTGGTTAAATGAAAAGAGCTGTAGCTCTGAGTCTCCCTGTGCTGCTGCGGGAAAGGTGGAGGTGGTTCCTCTGAGCCCTGGGGCTTTGAGGGACTAAATAATCTTCGGATGGGATGGGCGACACTGTTGAAAGGCAAATCTGAATATTTCCTCCGGGTACGATCAGTTATCGGATTCTGAGTTGGAAGAAGGAAATGTACATGTGATCAAGCCAGCAATTAAGCAGATTGAGAGGAGACTAACTGAATGAAAGCTTGAAGAGCCATCAACTCCCTTGTGAAAAGAAGCACACTTTAGTTTTCATTAAAGTACTTATTACAGAAATAATAGAATTTTTAAAAATACAGTGCAAACGATGTTTTCAGACACTTATTGGCAATTGAATTGAATTGAAAATGTAATTATAGTTTAAATTTATATGCTATTAGTTGAATTTAAGAGTGTTTTTAACCACTTAAGTATAGGGCTTAAATCTTTATATGTGATTTCATAATTCGATTGTCTTGAAAGCATGGTTAAAGTACTGACAAGCATTTATGATAAACTAAAATTAAGAGCTTTAGTATAGTCAGCACACACTTACTTGTGCACGTTTTAAAGTCTGATAAGAAGCATTGTCATGAAAATGTACTTAAGTGGCCTTTTATTTCAGTATTATTATATTGTTTTCAAGCACAGCTTATTTAAAATACACTTCTAAGATTTGAAGTGTACTACAAGTTAACATTTCATAAAATTAAGTGCACTTCTTTTTCACAACGACCCTGGTCCCATTAAAGAGTCAGCCAGTGAAACTAAAAAAAAAAAGCATTTGAAATCAAAAGCAACCCAAAGCAATAACAAGAACACCTTCAAATGAAGAGAAAGCAGAACATGGGTGAACAAGCTACGGGAAACAAGTTTTAAATGCGCCACATATTTCTCAGACTAATTGCATCTACTGAAGGACGCAACTTTAGCAGTTCTTAAATTACAATTCAGTGTTTAGCTGAACGCAGCTATATTGAATAGACTCTCCAGTGACATTTCTACAGTTTTCTTCTTTATCATGGTTGTCTTCAGGACAAACAGACTGGTCATTGATATGAAATATGGTGTTGTGGTTTTGTGTAGGGTCATGCACGTCCAGATTAACAGAGCACAAGTTAGTAATCAAGCGTGAAACAAAACATGAACCTGCACCATAAGAGCACATTGCGCTCGCATGACAAGAGATGCAAGTTGAAGGTCCTTTGTTCTTTAGTGATAGCCACAGAGAGGCCGAAGAGCTCAGAAGCATGCGGTTTCCACTCACCTCTCATTCAAAAGTGGGGGAAAAGTAGCTTTTTTTTTTTTCAACAGTCGACCAAGTTGGAATCTATTTGTGATGTGTTCTGCACGTTTTGGTTGATTAATTTCTGCTACGTTCTCAGAAAAGTGTTAGGGTGTTAAGGCTAGCTGATTTGAATCAACTTTAAACATTAGGCCTTAACCAACCACAGTTTCCACTGAGCAGCTTCCGCATGTGCATGTGTGAGAGAGTTAATGACAAAACCACAGGCGAGAGAGAACTGCAGCCTACAACGTGGAAGTCAGTACGAGAAACCGGTTATTTTGACTTTCACTACATTTATTGGTCAAGGTTACATTTCCCAAAAGAGTCATAAACCTAAGTAGATTGCAGCAACAATGGCACCAAGGGTCTCTTCGATCTACATAGGCTTACAGTGATTTTGGGAAATCATGTTTATTTATGTCTGACTTATAATACTGGAAATACTAATCTGACGTATCTTCTTACAACTCACTTAAGTTAATCTTGTTGTACCGTAGGCCAAAACACGTGGCATTTAACATGGCATTTAATACATTTGAGTCATGTATAGCACATTACAGTCATTTTTCCATCATAATCTGTACAATACATGCTTTTCGAAGCAACAAAAATAACCGTTGTTCAGTGGGAACTCAGAACAGCCCATGTTTTGCATATTTTCTATTTCTGGAAATGTTGTTCTGTTTTTAAACAGACAAGGACAACCTGCATTAGTGTCTTCTGTTGTTAACTCTTCAGGCCTCAACATGGGCTGTGTGGGGACCAAACCGGAGCAGGATCCTATTGGCAAATCGATGGGCAACAGTGACAGCTCCAACCAAACAGCACATTACACCAAAGACCCCACGGCAGGGTCCAAAGCTGTAAGTAGAATCATTTTGGAATTTCAGATTAAATTGAAAAGACATCTTTTGAGGGTTATTCCTGAGCATGATTTCTAGTGAAAAGTGCTGAGTTGAGCTAAACCATCAGTATTGGTGGTTCCAGCACATACTGTGACTTCAAATACTGTGCTTCCACTTTCTTATAGACTGAGAGACAGAGTAGTCTCTAAAGTACAGCTGTACGATCATCTTGACTTTGCATATATTAATATTGTTGCATATATAATATATTATTTGAAATTAACTTTTATTTTTACATTTTATTTTAGTTCAAGTTTTAGTTATTTTAGTTATATATATGTTTAGATTTACTTAATTTCAGTTTTAGAAATATTAGCTGCCAAGGAAACATTTTTCATTTTCATTTAAGTTTTCATCTAAAATTTATATTTTATTTAATTTCAGCTTTATTTCAGGTACTTAAACTTAATTTGTTAATTAATAGTTTTAGTTTTAGTAGTGACCATACCTGTCAACCCTCCCATTTTTCCCGGGATTCTCCCGTATTTTACCATTCTATCCCGCTATCATCCCGTTGAAATATTTTCCCGTATTTTTAATCTTTCTATTAAAAAAAATCCCACTGGCCGTATTTTATATGTTTGCTACATTCGCTTCCGGTAAAACTCCCGTAATTTGTATGGGCCAAACCTCATAATATGAATAATCACGTCAACAAATTCAAAGGTTGTCCAGTTGCCAGATGTTGTATGAAACATATCTTTCTCACACGATCGACACGTACAAATTTCAACCCATTTGTCCCCTCAACTTGGCAACCTACAGCCCAGTGACGCTACTAATATGTGCGCAGGGGCAAGAAGTGCGCATTTTGTCAAGAAGATAATGAATTATAAAACTCTAAAGATATAGCCTACACTAAGATATATTTATGTTACTAAATGAATATGATTGTTTGATATTAATTGTTTAAATTAATATAAAAATAATATAATGATAAAATATAAAACATTTGACTTTTGACTAATGTTTAGTTAATCAAAAGTAACTAAACATTTGTATCCAAAAGTAACCCCATTTTGGTATCCAAATGTTGACAGGTATGGTAATGACTTAAAAAGAGTTTGGAATGTTTATTTGTTTAAACAGATATCCTTTATTTGAAAGCCACAGACAGGTCTGTTTTTATGATCAGAAAAGTGAACTAGTCTAGTTTGTGAACTAGAAAAGTCTAGTTTGGTGTTTTAAATACTGCACCTATTTTTCCATCTACAGAACAGAAGCCTCTCCAACCCTACTTCTGGGCCAGACAGTAAGTGAAATTGTCTTTGATGTCTAGTAAATAGGATTTCTAGTAAATAGGATGTCTCGTTCAGAATGCTAGAATATTGTAATATATTAAAATACTTAAAAAAAATAATTAAATACAGTCACTACAATTCATATGGATGACCTTGTGGGCAAGAGTAAAATCATACAGCGATGTGTCGTAAACATGAAAAAGAGGCAAAACATGTTTTGAGGTTTAGTGGCGACGCAGACCTCAAAACAAGCTACTTTTTCATGTTTCAAAAACCTCAATGTGTGCTGCAACACAGGCAGTGTATACGCCAACTATCAAGTCTCAACCTTTAAATTGCTGTATAAAAAGTATATGCTCACTTTAAAACCTTTGTACCCTGTTGGAATTGTGGTAAGTTCACTGCTTGGTATAAGCGAAAAGCAAATGTTGTTATGAAAACTATTGTGTGGCACCAGTCTGTTTCTTACTCAGAAACATAGTGAATTTGTGATCACAGCTCTTGCACACTAAAGATTTCATTTGCCTTTAGCTTCAGAGAACATTGCCATAGCTCTGTATGATTATGAAGCTATGCATGAAGGTGACCTGGGCTTCAAGAAAGGAGACAGACTCAGAATCCTTCAGGAGTAAGTAGACCTGTCATTCTCTATGAGGATTTAACATGCAGCATCTCGTTTCTTTGATTGATTGATTGATTGATTGATTGATTGATTGATTGATTGATTGATTGATTGATTGATGTGTTTAGGTCAGGTGAATGGTGGAAAGCAGCATCTCTCAGCACTAGTCAGGAGGGCTTCATCCCTAGCAACTATGTTGCCAAGGATACTCTGGAAACTGAAGAGTGAGTAAATATAGATTGTGCACATTTGTAGTGATATAATATAATATAATGCAATACTATTGTGCATATATATGTAATAATATTGTGTATATAATATAATAATATTAAGCAGAAATGTCTCTTTAGCAACCAATCAGCATATTAGAATGATTTCTGAAGGATCATGTGACACTGAAGACTGGAGTAATGATGCTGAAAATTCAGCTTTGCATCACAGGAATAAATTATATTTTAAAATATATTCAATTAGAAAACAGTTATTTTAAATTGTAATAATATTTCACAATATTACTGTTTTTACTGTATTTTTAAACAAATATACATTGACTCATTGAGCATAAGTGACTTTCAAACGGTTATACGTTTTTAATGTCATTTTTAATCTATTTATTTATGTGTCTACAGGTGGTTTTTTAAAGGTGTCAGCAGAAAGGATGCAGAGAGACAGCTACTGGCATCTGGAAACAAAATAGGATCTTTTATGATCAGAGACAGTGAGACCACCCAGGGTACGTTCAGCACAGTGTTAAAGCTGAAGGGTTTTAGACAAGGAGTGTGATACTGAAGAATTAGCAGTGCTCATTTTTTACATCTGAAACATTTTTACTTCAACTGCACATCTACCAGATCCTTATCTGCTCTTCAAAACATCTGTATCTCCCCCCCTCAGGAAGCTACTCTCTATCTGTCAGAGACTGCGACCGAACAGGAGACACTGTGAAGCATTATAAGATCCGCACACTGGATAATGGCGGTTTCTATATTTCCCCACGTATCACCTTCAACACCCTGCAGGATCTGGTCAGCCACTACAAGAGTAAGTACAGCATGCAAAGATCTGGACACATTTCATTGGATAATACATATATTTTTAGTCGTTAGTGTTTGGTGAGAATTTTACCAACCTTTTTCATGAAGGATTGTTCACCACTCAGTTGATTTACAATTAACAAATTGTAAAAATTTACATCTACAGAGCAAAGCGATGGCTTGTGCCAATCTCTCACTAGTCCCTGTTTGAGTCCCAAACCTCAGAAACCTTGGGAGAAAGATGCCTGGGAGATCCCACGTGAGTCCCTCAAACTGGACAAACGTCTGGGAGCAGGCCAGTTTGGAGAGGTCTGGATGGGTAAGACACATACTGCTTGCTCTAATATGTATTTCTTATGTGTCTATTTACTCAAAAAAAAAAGTTTTTGTGCAGCATGGTTTGTTTAGTAGGATCTGAAAGATTTTCTCAGCTTGTCCAGGATAAAATGCAGCACTAAAATGGATGGTTATGACTAAAAAGTCCAATTTGAATTTTCCAAGCATTGGCAGTAAAATGCAAATGAACTCATAATTTATATTAATATGCCAAGTATCTATGTTGATTGGCAACAACTAACTGCCTATAGTGAGGGTAATGATCTATATTACTTGGTAAAGGAATAGTTTATTATACAATATTATTATATTATTATATATATATATTAAAAATGTTAAAAAATATTATTAAAACGTTTTATTGTTGATTTATTTTTATCATATGTGACCTGGACCACAAAACCAGTCTTAAGTCGCTGGGTTATATTTGTAGCAATAGACAAAAATACATTGTATGGGTCAAAATTATTGATTTTTCTTTTATGCCAAAAATCATTAGGATATTAAGTAAAGATCATGTTCCATGAAGACATTTTGTAAATGTCCTACCGTAAATATATTAAAACTTAATTTTTGATTAGTAATATGCATTGCTAAGAGCTTCATTTGGACAACTTTAAAGGTGATTTTCTCAATATTTAGATTTTTTTGCACCCTCAGATTCCAGATTTTCAAATAGTTGTATCTCGGCCAAATATTGTCCTATCCTAACAAACCATACATCTATGGAAAGCTGGTTTTGTGGTCCAGGGTCACATATAAACTATATATTTATATATATATATATATATATATTTTTTTTTTTTTTTTTTTTTTTGTATATATATATATTATATTATTATGTGTATTATTATTACATTATAATATTATAAATTAAATGTTTATGCTATATATATCATAAATATAAAATGTATCGTATTATAATAAAAACAATAAGCCATTTGAGACAGTGTGAGATTTACAAATAGAGTGGCATATTGCTTTATTAACAGAAAATACATGAGACAAAATGTAAGTAATTTATATATGAATCACAATGACACTGTTATTTAGTCACAAATTATCCTTACAGGAATACATCTTTAATTTTTTAATTACAAACCTAAACAAAAACACTGACCTTATCTTAAAAAACGGACCTGATCTCGAACCTGATCTGAAACCCGAGTTTTTCATGTCCTGCCACACTTTGGGCAGGGAGCAGACACTTATAATGAAATAGTGAAAATGAGGAATCCCAGTGTTAACTCATCTCTGTTTGCTTCTCAGCAACATACAACAAGCACACAAAAGTGGCAGTGAAGACTATGAAGCCTGGCACTATGTCTGTTGAAGCTTTCCTAATGGAGGCCAACCTAATGAAAACCCTCCAGCACGACAAACTGGTCCGTCTCAACGCTGTGGTCACCAAAGAGGAGCCCATATACATCATTACAGAGTTTATGGAGAAAGGTGTGTGTGACTCCAGACTCCAATGTGCAAAACATGGCGTTATACATCTTTGTTATTTATCTGTTTGTGTGCATGTGTTTTACAGGCAGTTTACTGGACTTCATTAAAAGCGATGAAGGGAATCGTGTCCAGTTGCCCAAACTGATTGACTTCTCAGCACAGGTGAGGTGGTTTGAAGGTCTCATTTGTTCAGTTAATGTGCTTTTCTCCTACATATTGAGTCACATGTTCCCGTGATGTGGAGGACAGGTTTGTCTTTTAGATTTTAATATTCAAATGTGATAACTGACAGACAGAGAGAGAGAGAGAGGGTGGAGTCCACCATTAACATGACAATCTAATGCTTTTACTTTTTGTCACTGTTAGTCCACGATAATAGCAGCTTGTTCTCTCTATTGTGCAAGTGATTCTTTAAAATAGTGAAATATACACAAAAGTAAGGAATAATTACATTTTCAAATGTTTTAAAAGGAGTCTCTTATGCTCACCAAGACTGAATTTATTAAAAAAACTATGAAGCTTTGAAACCGTTTTCAACATAAGAAATAATAATAAATGTTTCTTGAGCATCAAATCAGTATATTAGAGTGATTTCTGAAGGATCATGTGACACTGAAGACTGGAGTAATAATGCTGAAAATCAGCTTTGCATCATGGGAGTAAATTACATTCTATATATATATATATATATATTAAAACAGACAACAGCTATTTGAAATTGTAAGAATATTCACAAAGTTGATATTTTTGATCAAATAAATGCAGCTGAGCATAAGAGATGTCTCTCTTAAATATTGAAAAACGATTTTAATTTTAGTTAGTTTTGACCACCAGTATGCATTCAGAATCAGGTAATATGGAAGTTATACAAAAAGATTTATGAGAAATATTAGGTAAATATGACATATTGTCACTGATGTTTAATTCAAGTGAGGATTTTGAATATGAAAGTGTGTGACGGTTGCAAAAAAGGGTGCGACATTGAGTTGGAAAGAGGAAGAGAATTGCAAGCACTCAACAAGACAGATGTGAATGTGCCCTGACTGATAAGAGGATTCACACAAACACACACACATGCACACACACACACACCATTATAGCTTATTGTAGCTGTTGCTGCGGTAGGTGACATAGGAGACCATACAATCAAAACCTCATTCTTACTCTCATTTAATTGAAGAAAGTTGTTAGAGAGCCAGAGCTTAATATCAGTATAGCATTCATGTACTTTGTCCAAAAGTACTCACCTAGGCTCACAGGAAAATTGAAGATCATCGGCATAACAATGGTAAGAAATACTATACAGTATTTCCGAAAAATGGTGCCCAAAGGAAGCATATATAAAGAGAACAGCAATGGCCCCAAAATCGATCCCTGCAGAACGCCACACAGTAAAGGAGCCGATAAATATGATGCAAACCACTGAAGGGCTGTGCCCTGGACACCAACCCAACACTCCGAGCGATTAAGAAGAATCTTATGGTCAATCGTATCAAAAGCAGTACTTAAATTTAACAAAACTTAAACAACCTGTGATCCTGAATCCAACGATATTAGGACATCAATAGTAAATAGAGCAGATTCGGTGCTATGGAAGGTACAAAAGCCAGACTGGGATACCAAAAGTATTCAAATATGAAAAAAAGTTGTGAGTAAACCACTTTCTCTAAAATATTGGAAATAAAAGGCAATTTAGAAATAGGTCTAAAATTATTACATACTGTGTGATCCAGATGAGGTACAACAATATCACTAATTCTCCACAAATGTGGCATATATGGGAGTTGGAAGAAAAAAGCCACTCCTCAAGAAAGGCCACACAGTCACGACTGCTCTTTGTCAAAACACACCTTGAAGATTCTGAGGCAGATGAGACAAAAATTTAATTATTTGGCATCAACACCAATTGATATGTGTGGCGGAAATCCAATACAGCTCACCATCCAAATAACAGCATTCCTCCAGTAAAGCATGGAGGTGGTAATATCCTTTTATGGGGGTGTTTCTCTGCAGCAGAGACTGGAGCTTTTGTCAGGATAAAAGGAAAAATGGATGGGGCAAAATACCATCAAATTCTTGAGGAAAATCTGTTGCTCTCTGCAAGAAAGTTGTTAATGGGAAGAAGGTTTCCCTTCCAACATGACAATGACCCAAAGCACACAGCAAAACTGAGCACACAGTGGTTGAAGGAGAAAAAGGTGAATGTCTTTGCATGGATCCAGATGAGGTACAACAATATCACTAATTCTCCACAAATGTGGCATATATGGGAGTTGGAAGAAAAAAGCCACTCCTCAAGAAAGGCCACACAGTCACGACTGCTCTTTGTCAAAACACACCTTGAAGATTCTGAGGCAGATGAGACAAAAATTTAATTATTTGGCATCAACACCAATTGATATGTGTGGCGGAAATCCAATACAGCTCACCATCCAAATAACAGCATTCCTCCAGTAAAGCATGGAGGTGGTAATATCCTGTTATGGGATGTTTCTCTGCAGCAGAGACTGGAGCTCTTGTCAGGATAAAAGGAAAAATGGATGGGGCAAAATACCATCAAATTCTTGAGGAAAATCTGTTGCTCTCTGCAAGAAAGTTGTTAATGGGAAGAAGGTTTCCCTTCCAACATGACAATGACCCAAAGCACACAGCAAAACTGAGCACACAGTGGTTGAAGGAGAAAAAGGTGAATGTCTTTGCATGGCCGAGTCAGAGCCCAGACTTAAACCCCACTGAAAAAATCTGTGAAATGACTTGAAGACTGCAGTCCACAAACGCTCACCATCAAATTTAACTGAACTTGAGCAGTTCTGCAAAGAAGAGTGAGCAAATATTCCAAAGTCTAGATGTGGAAAGTTAGTAGAGACAGAGACATATCCCAACAGACTAAAGGCTGCAATTAAAGCAAAAGGTGGTTCAACAAAATACTGACACAAGGGGGTGATCATGTTTCCAACTCCGTGATTCTGTTTTCCTCTGACATGTTGGTGTTATATCTTTCACTTGGATGTTATAAGTTGCACTGAGTAAATACAGCTGCATAAAACATAAACTGTGTCCATCTCATTTCAGGCTGCAAACCAACAAAATTTGATTATTGTAAAGGGGGGGTGATTCTTTTTTATACCCACTGTGCATGTGTGTATGTATATATTATCCATTCATATTAAGGTTGATATTACTAATGATAAAGAATTAAAGGCCACAGTGTATTAAAACTGTATAAAAATTAATAAGGAAATTGAATCCATAAATCTTCACAACTACATATATTGATAAATATGATTTACATTTTAAATTCCTCGTTTAAATGCTGAAACTTCCACTGAGCTGTTGCCACCCTCTTTTGTCAATATTCATAAGCCTTGACTTCCTCGTGAGCTTTGAGAGTGAAATGACATCCTACCGCCAATAAAACACCAAAGAAGAAGAAGAAGAAGAAGAAGAAGAAGAAGAAGAAGAAGAAGAAGAAGAAGAAGAAGAAGAAGAAGAAGAAGAAGAAGAAGAAGAAGAAGAAGAAGAAGAAGAAGAAGAAGAAGAAGAAGAAGAAGAAGAAGAAGAAGAAGAAGAAGAAGAAGAAGAAGAAGAAGAAGAAGAAGAAGAAGAAGAAGAAGAAGAAGAAGAAGAAGAAGAAGAAGAA